ATTAGTAAAACACGGAGCACGGAGCACGGAGCACGGAGCACACGGAGCACGGAGCACACGGAGCACGGAGCACACGAAGTACGGAGCAGTAGAAAAACGAAAATCCTTTATAATAAAATACACTGTTTACTATTACAAATTTTTGTTCTTATTAATAAAGATTTTTCGCGAATTTACACGTTGGGGAAGTAGGAAAATGAGGCTTTTACTGAAAACATGCATATGATGCAAAACTGCCAAAAGCCATTAAGCCATAGTATTTAAATAGGATTGTGAAACTCGTTATCTTACATCTATCAAGCTTATGTAGTTATATTATATTCCGATTGCCAACGCATAAAGAAACACATACTGTAGAGAACAGCCGATATATTTCGTTACCCCTGCCAAAAAATAGCAAAGTACTCATCTTTCAATGTAGCGGATCGACTGAACATTAAAGCTTGTGGTGGAGAGAAGTGAATTTTCGGTTTATCCTTCGGCTCAGTGGCAGTGGCAGTGACAGTGTGCTGTACGGCCTACGTTTAAACCGTTATACAGTACATAATTACTGCTTTGAATTCACATTCTTTCAATCCGTTTTGAATATTCGGAATCATTCACAATATTATACTGTAGACGATCCGAAAACCTATTCACCCCCCACCCCTTAACTAAACATACAATTCGGTGTAAGGTTTAAAAATTGACGTGTATTATACTATTATTCTATATATAACTTAGGTAAAACTCTAAAAGAAAAGCCGTACAGCTGCATATGACATTCGGTTAAAAAATTAGAACGCTGACTTTTTCGCGTTCTCTTTTTTTTGTCGTAAACAACTCCATATACGGAAGTTTGTTCCATATATGGAGAAAGACGTGGAAATAGATTTTTAAAAAATGCTGATTTTAAAAAAATTACGAAAATCTTTATAGAGGTATAAACTGTTCACAATTTTAGGCACTTTTTGAGCACTATTTTGAGATTTTGAGCACTTTTTGAGCACTTTTTAGCCGTTTTTGCCAGAACTTTGTTTGGATTTTACCAGCGCAATCGGGAAGGCCTAAATAATAGCTCGAATAATAGTGCATTTCGATATGCGTGCGTACTCGACCAAGTATTTGGGAATGTATGCTTTTTACACGTACTCGACTTCAAAAGACAGTAAACGGCTGTACGATTTGTTAGCTTACTGGACCAAAGTAAACGGCTGTACGCATTTAAATATTGTAACGCATATTGTGTGTACTCTATCTAGTTTAGGCTATAGTCAAAATATCCATCACATGTATCTAAAGACTATTAGACTAAACTATCAAACTTTATAATTCCATCGGAATCGAAATACTGGTCTACATGCGGCTGCCGGGCAGTATTTTTCAAATACTACGTGCCCGGCAGTCAGGAAACACGTACAGCACACTGGGCCGAAGGATAAACCGAAAATTCACTTCTCTCCATCACAAGCTTTAATGTTCAGTCGATCCCGGCTACATTGAAAGATGAGTACTTGGCTATTTTTTGGCAGGGGTAACGAAATATATCGGCTGTTCTCTACAGTAAGTGTTTCTTTATGCGTTGGCCAACGGAATATAATATAACTATATAAGTTTGATAGATGTAAGATAACGAGTTTCACAATCCTATTTTAAATACTATGACTTTTGGCAGTTTTGCATCATATGTGTTTTTCAGTAAAAGTGGCCCATTTTCCTACTTCCCCAACGTGTAAATTCGCGAAAAATCTTTATTAATAAGAACAAAAATTTGTAATAGTAAACAGTGTATTTTATTATAAAGGATTTTCGTTTTTCTACTGCTCCGTACTTCGTGTGCTCCGTGCTCCGTGTGCTCCGTGCTCCGTGTTTTACTAATAGCCATTTGAGCCTCATTTCGCCCATAAGCGTAAGGGCCTGATACTTTTCAGTGTGTGTGTGGGGGAGCAGTTGTACGTTTCGCCCTTTTTAAATCATTTTTTTATGGAGGACTAATGAAATAAGGGACCGGTCATTACCTATGGCAGGAGATGGCATCGAAAATTTTGAGTAAGTAAAAGTTTGGGTGTTTGAAAAACAAAATGCAACTCAAGGGTTGGGTAATAAAAATTTAAATATTGAAGACTAATAGCAATGTCAACTGTGAAATGTTAATACAATATGTAAATCAATCACTATGTTGATGTTCCGATTTGTCAGCCGGAGGCAAATGGTGTCTCCAAACAACGTACATGTGCAGACAAGTGAGACAACATGGAACATTACAGTGCAGAAAATTGCACAAATGGTATCCATTTGTAAGGGACCGTTCATTTTTTATCAGGAGGGGGCTGGTGGTTTTGGGTTCTTTCATTAATAATTTCGTCTCGACCCCCCAACAGATGCAGGAAAATTTCCAGTGAAAATTGGTGATACCAGCCGACAGCAACGCATCTTTGTAAGTTTGTTCAGGGTATACAATACGCAAGGCTCGCTTTTGGATTTTTTCAAGTTTGTCAGATAAATAGCATGAGATAGAGTTGTGCCAAACTTCACAAGAGTATTCAAGGATTGAGCGTATTAACGCAATATACACAGTGAGAAGGTCTGCAGGAGGAATACCACTTCGGCGCAACACCCGGAAGATATGTAATCGTTTGGATGCCTTCGAGACTATTTCATGGATATGTTCATCCCATTTCAGGTTGTTTTGGATCGTGAGTCCCAGTACTTTATGTGAACGCACTGTCTCAATTGGGTGTCCATCGATTAACAGAGGCATTAATTGGGGGGTTTCTCCAAGGAAACTAACACGAAGCTCTTTGCATTTTTTATATTAAGTTTCATCCAATTATCGGAAGCCCACAACTGAACTGAATTAAGGGTTGATTGAGTGATAGAGGTGCAATTTCTGCTAAGACTCTCAGAGGTTGAAACGTCGTCTACGTATTTCCACATTCTAGTGTCGGGAGAAGTGATTCGCAGGTTATTGACCATTACTAGGAACAAGATTGGACCTAGTTTTGTCCCCTGAGGAACACCTGCATTCACTGGAAGCCAGTCGGAGGTTGCTCCATCAAATTTAACACGCTGCCTTCGATTTGAGAGGAAGTTGATGATCCAAGGGATTAATGAGCGTCTAGCACCCAAATTTATCAGTTTCTCAATTAATAGATTATAACCAATGCGGTCGAAGGCCTTGGAGAAGTCTAGGAAACAAATACGCAGATGATTACCGAGTCCGTCAAGGTGGGAAAGCCAAGTATGTAACATATCCAGAAGGCAAAAAGTGGTGGATGTCCCTTTTAGGCAACCAAATTGGCTGGGGTCGATTTTTTCTTTTACATCCTCAATCAGCCAAGATACTACGAAATCCTCTAAAACTTTAGACAAGCACGATGTTAGTGATATAGGCCTAGTGTCGGCTTCAGCAATCGGTTTACATGTTTTAGGGATTGGGACTATGTTCGATTCCTTCCAACTACTCGGCACAACTCCTGAAGCAAGGGATGTATTAAAAATAATGGTGATCGGCTCAGCTAGCACGTGAGCATACCCCTTTAAAATTCGACGTGAAATATTGTCAGGTCCGGGGGCTTTAAAAGAATGGACAGTTTGGAGTTTCTTACAGACTTGGTAACATTCAACTGCAGGTACGCTTTCATTTGATGGTAAAAACGGTGGTAATAAGTTCACATCTAATGGCGGAATATCAGCGTTAACGGAAGTATAGAATTCGTTAAGGGCATTGGAAGCTTGTAAATTGTTTAGGATTTCACCATCGCGTTCTAAGGTGAAAGGCTTTGTTGTTTCCGGTTTGCCAGACATTTTGTTAATGATTTTCCACCACTTACGACTATCACTGTTTTTTAAATGCTGAACTTTGTTTTTATAAAATGATTTCTTTCTTTGCTTAATCTCCTCTTGGACTTTATATCTTAAAGATTTCCATAGGGGGATATTATGGTTATGGAATGCTTTCTGTCGGTCTTTAATCAGTTTTTTAATACTTGGGGTTATCCAAGGTTTATCGGTTTGATGCCACTTCACAGTTATAGGAGGGAATATACGATTAATGGCTTCTGTAAGGTGCGATGAGAATGATGATGTTAAATCGTCTACCGTTTGATTAGTCCCTAACTCGCCAAACCAGACATGTGTAGCGATCCATCTCCCCAAAGCTTCAACCCCAGACCTTGGATAGCGCCGGATGCGACGTTTGACAGATTTCGTACGTTCTTGAGAATTGGTATTCTCTAGACTGGGTGACCATGTTACAATGTTATGGTCTGAGGACCCTAAGGGCGCTAAAACTTGGGGAGGTTCATACAGGTTTGGTTGGTTCGTAATTATCAGATCCAAAATGGCTGTTCCTCTTGTAGGGACTTTGACAACTTGCTTCAGGTTATGGCTTGATAATATATTCGATATATCGAAATCGTTAAAATCACCAAGAAGGACTAGACCACAGTTGGGATGTTGGTTGCGTAATGAATCTATTGTTAAAACTAAGTATTCATTAAGTTGGCGGTGGTTTTCTACAGGTAAACCAGGGGGGTGATAGACTATGCACACTGCAATACCAGAGAGCGGTCTGGGAAGGCGGGTAGGGCGAAGCCACAGCCACAGACATTCTAAATTTTCATGTTCCAAGTCCAACCTACGTTTGGCATAGGTGCCCTGTGGTAGATAAACACAAATTCCTCCTCCACGACGGCTAGAACGGTCTTTACGAAAAATGTTATATCCGTTTATCGAAACGAGTCCATCCTCGATGTCACTGTTCAACCACGATTCAGTGACCGCCACTACACTGGGTTGGCGACAACTTAAAAACAGGGTGAGTTCATCTATTTTTGGAAGCAGCGATCTGGCATTAATACAGCAGAAATTAGGTAAATGTGACTTTGAGGACTTTGTAATACAGGCATTAGGTTTGTGTATGACAATATTTTTCAGATTTAGTATGTTAGAGCCACAAGGTCTATGGTGATTTTGGTAATTCCGTGCAGTAATTCGTGTAGGAATAGTTGTCACATTTCCTACCTCTTGCACAGTTGGTGTACAAAGTCCAAATGGCTCAGCCATTCGAGGGATTGGTGGCGATGGCCCGTTCGATAGGGTGGTGGTTTCATTCGATGGCGCTTGGGAAAAGGAGGCTTGTTCGAGGTATTTCCATTAATATATTGGTTATTTTTCGCTTGGATGGGTATATCTATTAACGGTAAAGAACCAATCCAATCCAATATAGGTTGCTTTTCGGGCATATTTGCAATTTGATTGATTTGTAGTGCCTTGTTTTGTAAGTCCCTATTAGTATCGTGAAACGGCACACTTTCAATGTCCCTATTATTTACAGGAGCAGGGATGAAAGGTTGTAAACTGACGTTTTGAGATTTGCATTGATTTAACTCATTGTTGTTATGATGACCATTGTTTCGGTGACCATTTCTGTTGTTTTTGTTCATAAGAGTGTTTTTATTAATCTTACTATTGTTATTGTTCATCGGAGCAGCAAATGTAGATGCATTTTTATTCTCTAGGGAAACAATGGTCAGATTCAACTTTTCAATTTCAAGGGATCGTTCTTTCACAAATAAACTCAACTCAGATTCAAGCTTTTCAGATCTCGCCTTCTCAATTGAAAGTTCACTCCGAAGACGATCAATTTCTTTATCTTTATGAGAATATTCGGTATTAGCATTTGCAATCGAATCGATTCTGTTAGATAGAGTAGTAATATCTAATTTAACTTCCTCAACATCAGCAGCTAGAACGCCACACGAACAGCGACAGTTCGACAAATAGTTGGAATTATCACTTATAATGTCTAGACAAACCTGTGATGCGGCATCAACTTGGTTGGCAGGTCTCGATATAGGTGTAGGCTCTGATTCCAAAATATTTTGAGCATGGTTAACTTCATTGGGGGAGGCAATTTTGGAAATGGAATCTAAAGCGGGAATGCTGGTGGCACTGCTACTAGGAAGGTTAACCTCATTAATGACAACATCATCAATGCTTTCTTTGAAGCCGATTGTATTATTCGATAGATCCTCAGAGAGTACTTTAACTTCTAATTCAGCCAACCGTGACTTCAAATTCAAATTTTCATCAGATAATTTGCATATATCCTGTTTACTTTTATTTATAATTTGAGTCTGTTCTGAAAGATTATTTATCAAAACTACAATATCGGACTCAATCTTATCCTTGAACATGTGAAATTGTTTCACTGTAATGCCCAACTCAGCCTCATCTTGCGTCCGAACTGGGGTAGAGCTGTCAATAGATTGGGCAGAGGAAATATTGGTATTATTATTTTGCATCAGAATATTCGCATTTTGAAAAGATCGGTCAATAAAATCCTCAAGCTCATCAAGGGTTGAACAATCCGCCGTTAATACCTCATCTATAGCTTTATCACTATAACCACCAGTAGATACTTTACTAGCCTCAAGCATGGTCAGATCTTGTACTATATGACTAACACTAACCAATTGTGGTTTGGGTTTGACTGATGTTTCAGCCAACGCATGAAATAAACAGCCCTCGTCAGTATCAGTTCGCTTAACACATTTTGAGATCAAAACACTCAACAACCATGTCTTAAATGATTCGCCATCCCTTCCGTTAAATGTAAGCGAATTTAGTTTGCCAGGATACCAGGTCACAATAAAATTTGAATTTGAGTTGGTGAACTGTTTAGATTTACCTCTGCTTGATCTCCATGTACCAGACAGCCCGATCACATTTTCGACAAAATTCTGCAACGAACGAAAGTCTCGAGACCATATAACTCGTTTCCCATCATAAACTAAGTCAGCTTGATCCTTTAACAAATTGATGGAATTGATATCAATGCTTTCGAACGACAATTTTTTATATTTTGGTGAAATCAACAAATCGTGACCGTCCGCCATTCTGTGCGTTCAAATGTATCACTGAATCTTGGCTTAACACTTCTGTTGTCAGTGTTGTGGACTCAATGATTTCGTTATCGAACTTAATCCAATTCAGAAATGATCGCACATACTCCTGCGGTGGCGGCGTAAAGCAATATATTTCATTTTATAATAAGACAAAACTTCATCTTTTGGCTGTTTAAAGTTACTGAAAGTAACAATTTTGTGCATTTGTGCCAAAAGAAACAAAATAAAACTGATATGAATTGCCTTAATACTCAATGTCACGTCCAGTAACTTTTAATAAACAGCCATGAAGATGATTCCAAAGTATGGCGTTCCATCGCCGCCAAAAATCAATGTTATTAATCAACAACCAATGTTGCTACTCAACAATCAACATTGGGCAACAACATTCAAATCCACTCTCCAACTTTCAACAGCACACTTTCCTACTATTGTAATTTCAGAACTCAACATCTAACTTTAAACCACGCAACAATCAATATTGAAAAACTTCAACAACGACAAATTTTTGTTCTTTGAAATGATGAATGTTTGAAATGATGAATGTTGCAATGCTCATGTTTTTAATATTGATGTTTGTCCCCGAGCCGACGGCGCGAAGCGCCGTGCGAGGGTACTAATTCCCCCCGGCTATTTACACCCGGGGAAACGAAAGCATTAGCCAAGTCTAAAGTTCATCAAATATCGCGGGCGTGGCTCACCAACGAAGTTTCGGTGGGTGGTCATCCTCACTGATCTCAAAAATATGGCGGACTGTCACGAATAGCGGACACTGATTGGTCCAATTTACAGTTTGCATTATAACGACTGCATGACGACAGCGAAACAGCAAACATTTCTTGATTTGATGATTGATAAATTTCTTGCAAATATATCTTATTTTTGCTCGCATTTTTGCAAGATTTTTTAAATTTCAAGAAAGAAAAGACTAAAGAATGGGCTAAAAGAAGGGAGCCGACGTTAACAAAGGTAAGTTTTGTTTTAAATATTTATTTTATAATTGTTTTAAAACCCGACGGCCTTTGAGTATATGATAAAGTTCATTTCTTGCAAGTTGTATTTTAGCAAGATTTTGTAAATTTCAAAACCTTTCTGAGAGCCAAAAACGTCTAAAAACGTCTAAAAGAATAGAGCAAAGTCGCCGACGTTAGCGAAGGTATAGTCGTTTTAAATATTGATGTATTTTTTGTCTTATAATTGATATATTTATAACTGATAGTGTTGGGCGATACGGCGAATATCGAACTAAACCTATCATTGCGTATATAAGTGAAAAAAGACAGCATATAATTTCATTGTAGTTTTATTAACTACTTTTTCTTTTGTATATTAAAGTATTTAAATAAAGAGGAAAGCAAAGTTATTTTCATGCGAGAATTTGAAATCAGCTTATTTCAAACTCAATGACAATGTTTACCGATAATTCGATAAAAGGCCGTTTAGTTTTGAGAACATTTTAAAACGTTTTGCGAAGCGTTTGTGGTTGAATTTTACATTAAATTGATGCTTATATTACGTATAATAACATACCTGGCATACATATGTTTGGGAAATTGATAATTTTGTTATTAAAAGTGATATTTTGGGGGAATTTTTCAATTTTAAAACCAGGTTTAAAACTATTCTTAAAATTATCGTGTTACCATGACAACTACTTTCAATTCTTCATAATATTCAGAAAACATAATGTTTTGTCAGTAAGGCGAGGGTTTCTGCATGCATGTATTTTCTAGTATAAAGATTACTAATTAGGAGTGTTTTATCAGGTTTAAAGCCACTGCACCTGACATATTATGGTTGACATGATTTGCCAATAAGCTTACGAATTATTAATGAGTGTTTTATATATATATATATATATATATATATATATATATATATATATATATATATATATATATATATATATATATATATATATACTAGAAGTTACTATCGCAAGGAAAGTGCTGCCTCACCCCGCCTTCCATCACATAAGCACGTAAAGCACACCTGAAGGCCCATCTACACGATACGACTAGTCGTATACGATTCTTATCCTGGCGTATGTACTCGAATAAATGTGTGTAAAGATGTCACATTTCAAACTTCGCCATAAACTGATGAACAGAAATAGTGGCGTCGGCAATCTTTTTCATACGGTAAGAATCGTATACGACTAGTCGTATTGTGTAGATGGGCCTTATTAGACACCTGTTCAGGAGGTAGGAAAAGTGCAATTTGAATACGAAAACACCTTGCACAAAGTCGAAGGTCAGCTAAATGCCTAAATACTCTAATTGTATTGACTTCCACAAATTCCTTACTCTTCAAGAAATTACTTCTTTGAAAATTCCTTCGTTCTAAAAAAGATGAAGGACTTTGCAAAAGTCTACAGGTCATGCTATGCAAGTTTTTAATGATTTGCATTATTCAAATCGATGCAGGTTTATTAGTATATCATAACCAGTTGTCATGGCTAGCTTGCCACTGAATACTGTACAATATCATATATAACAATGAAACGATAATAATACTTGAATGAATAATCATTGGATATGTAGAATTTAATAACAATTTCATACATAGAAATACAACCAGTAAGTCTGACTCAGTTTTTGTCCCAATTATCGTTTTAATTGATTGGCACCTTCAAGGCTACCCCTACCGCAGAACAACTGAACAATCTGCTGATGGAGAGACAAAAGCTATTTTGTTGACATTTTTGTTTAATATGTCAGCTTCATATGATACCATTCATTGTACAAACGATTAAGATTGTACTCAGTCAGAACTGCAAAACTAAATAATAAGAAATGGTGAGCATTATGGAAAAGTCAGATAATTTTTCATTTGTATACAATTGTGTGTTCCAATTCGGACATCATACTGCTCATTTGACCTTATGCATAATGATGTCACAAGACTTCATGCCCGCGAGGAATGCTGGTCTTAGTAGTCAATGCCTGGGAAAATTAAACAATTCAAAATGGCCACTATCGAAATTTTCCTGGACCGTGATGACTACTAAGACCAGCATTCCTTGCAGGCATCAAGCCTTGAGACGTCATTATGCATAAGGTCTATTGATATACAGTAAAGCCCCACATAAAAGAACCAGTTGATTAAGAACCACTATCGTAAACCTCCGACTATAAGTCACCCCCAAATACACCCCCCCCCCGTGTATAAACCCACCACATGTACTAATGCTCACCTCATTCCAAATATAAGCCGCCCCCCCCGAATATAAGCCCACCCGAATATAAGCCCCCCAAATATAAGTCCCCCAAATTAATATAAGCCCAGTAATCGCTGCTTAATAATGTTTATTTTCCTGTTTATGGCTGACTTGTTTATGTCTGACTTGTTTATTACTAACACAAAAAATTGTCCATGTATAAGCCCCCCCCGTATATAAGCCCACCCTTGTATAAGCCCATCAAAAATCACTTACAAGCCCAGGGCTTATAGTCTGAGGTTTGTTAGTGGGCAATAACAAGTTTTAATATATGCAACAAGAACCATATTAGTGTCATTGCAATAGTTTTGTGCAACAACAGTCCCTATTTAATGTGTAGAATATCAAAAAGTATAGTGTGAAGTAAGATTATATAAGAACCACTTCAGCCTGAAGTCAAAATTCACTGGTTCTTTTATGCAAGGCTTAAGGGCTTTAATTACTGCATATCATATTCCCATAATAACAATATTAATAATCATTTTACTGTATATATATAACTACAGTATTTTATTGGCAATTTTCTAATTGACATCCAACCTATATATTTGCAAAATTTGATATACAATATCTTGTTGGCTTGATCTTTTGACACAATTAGTATACAACTTTATTATTGCCAACGATTGCCCAGCTAACGAGATCACACTTCGCTAGTATAAACAGTATAGTATAAAATATAGCGAGTTCACACATCGCTAGCAAGTTTGGACAGGTACAGCGAGTTCACAATTCACTGCTTCTTTGAAAAACATAATATGAACGGCCCCTTTTCATTTGATTTGACCAAAAGATCCCCACGAACACACGCCAAAAAATACATCTAGAGGAGATAAAAATGTTATAATTTGTCAAAGTATCAAAAACACTGTCACTGCAGAGTGTACAGTGACTACAGTCGATGTATATTACAGTAAAACCTACAGCAATACAACATAATTCAATATAAACATATTTCATGTCAAGATAACTTACTTTGAAACTACAACCCAAAACGGCGATAGTATTCGATATATTTTGAAAAACCTCTAAATGATCTTCCTTTCTCACAAAACTTGAATATAAGACCAGTATTTATGCAAAGTATGTCTTTGCTTCGCTCCTGATCGAAATATTTTTAAACGCCACACTTAGAACGTCGTTCGCAATCGCTGAACAAAGTATTCGGCAGTCATCGATTTGCTATTGTGAACTCCTGGGGTATGCTACGGTAATGCTCCAATGTAAATTCCTTACTGCAACGTCATAATTTGACGTGACACTGCCCACAAACACTTGAACGACATAAAATCGAGATACGCTTCAACTTTATAAAACTGTTGGCGGGAAATTCAAATGCGCTATAACACAACGTCAAGAATAGGAGGCTGCCTTCGGCAGCAATGAAATTCGCCTATATATTTAACAATTATACCATGAGGTCGAGTCGTATATGAGTTGATAGCCGACGAGGTGCGTAGCACCGAGTCGGCTATCAGCCATATACGACGAGAGCGAATGGTATAATTGTTTTATAATATAGTCTAATATAGCCATTAACTGAAGCAGTAATTAATTATTCACTGTTACAATGTGTTGACAATTTGTTCGGCCAAAAACCGCTTGAAAATTTGAAAAACGTTTGTTTTACAACTCGAAGACGAAGTGAAAGAAATGGTTTTAGAACCTCTATATCTCACAAGAAAGCTCAGATATATTATACAGATGTTTGGTACTATAGTAAGTGCTTGTTGACTGCAAATTTATTTGTCGTTTATTGCAAACTTTTCTGAACAATTTATATTCTCAATGAACATGTTTTTTCGCTGTTGTCTCGGTATTAATTCTTTGAAAAACTTGTATTTAAACTCATTTCTACGTAATAAATGTATTTTGCTAACCTGTCAATTTTTTTTGAGAGTTTTTCCTTGTACTATTATGTTTCTCAAAGCGAATATTTTCCTTTTCTGCTTCGCAAAGCTCGTGTAGTTTTTGGACCGCCATCTTGTTTTTCGCTACTCGCCGTATATGAGCTGATATACGGCGAGTAATTCAACCAATCAGATTGCAGAACAGCTCATATATGGTGGATGACTATATTATAAATATATATATATATATATATATATATATATATATATATATATATATATATATATATATATATATATATATATATATATATATATATATATATATATCCTAGCGAGTTCCATACATCAACTCCGTTATTAGAGAGAGTACGTTTTACATAATTTGTTCTTTTATACCGCTTGTGAAGTTTTGATGAAGTTTTTTCACTATCTTTTAATAAAGCATGAGAAAATCAATAAAATATCCATACAAAATTATCGCTCACTCATTGGTAAAATATATGGCAGCCACGGATGGCCACGGCTTCGCCCCAATGTTTTTGCACCCCCGGCAATATGGCGGAATAAACCTTGAAAGGGCCTATTAAATGAAACTACTAATTTAGGCCCTAGAATAGCTCTACGCGAAGGCTATGTAGTCTCGCTAGTCTGTACAAGATTCGCTTGTCGAATTTTACAGTTTCAGAATAGCCCGAACACTTGAGATTATACGATAAAATGAAACAAAGATTGTGAAGGGGGATACAATTTGTAGGCAATCATTGCTCCTGAACGGCAACTGTTGGTGTCGAAACAAGCAAATCCGTATATTTCCTGTACAGCGTAAACAGGTTACGCGATGTTTTATATTTGTGTTTATTTATATTGAACTAAGTCTAAGAGCATATTTATTTCTGCCTTATTTTTCTAGACGAGAGAAAGAAAATTTCGCGTGAATCGCCACGCGGAGACATCTAGATGCAGCTTGGAAATAATGCTGAGATACAATTGTGCCTTTGGAGGCTTTGCCTGTCACTGCTAGCTGTGGTTTCAAATCACCAGATTTCTATATCTGTATATCTTAGAAAACATCAACGGTCTTTTCAGATATTTCAACGAATTCGTGCCAAACATCGCTATACATAAATAATATCGATTTTTGGCTCTCTATTTGTTTCGACGACTTGAATATTTCAGTTAAGAACTCGGTTAAGAATATTTCGCCACTACTTGACGAGTCGCTGTCAAATATGCCCATATCACGTGACCGACCCAGAGCAGGGCTTTCTCTTCTATCCCGGCCTCGTCCTCATACGAAACTCTTGGAACGAGGTTTCATTTTTCAGTAATATTTTTGTAAATTTATCAAAAGTTTTCCTACAACTATTTCTTTCCAATTCGAGACACTTAAATATTTTTTTTAATTGCCCGACGAAATTGCATGGATATACCCGACGAGAAAGAGAAGGGGTGGTTACTCCCCAACGGTAGTTTCGCACTTGAGATGGCATGGCTAGCTCGTCACTTGTAAAACTTTAACAAAACAAAGAAGATTCTTGTTATTATTAGCACAGTTTAGAACACAAATGAAACCTACAATGGTGTCTGTGAAATGGAAAGCTAGGGGGAAGAAAAGGGGAGGAAATCGCAAGCGTTATATGTTAAAACTGTTAAGACTGTACATGTATACTGCACTTATGTTGTGAATCATTTCATCTTACTTAAGAGATTTTATATATTCCATAAAATATATAATTACAAAATTAAATTGACTTACCCGCTATCGTACAAATAGCAACTATCCAAGTTCCCACCACTTTTCCATGGATAACGTTTAGTACTGTCACAGTCACCAAAATCACCTACAATATAATATAATTGTTCATTATAACGACACCGTATTTACTCAATTAAACGCCGCGGCGTTTTTCAATTTTTTGCGCTACGGCTGCGGCGTTTATTCGAAGGCGGCGTTTAATAATATTTTCGTTTCTACTGCGGCGTTTATTCGACGGCGGCGCTTATGAGTAACGAGCGGAATTTTGTATTCCGGAATATTTAGCAGATAGTGGAAACACAACAAAACAAAAAGCATGGTGCGTTTTCTCTTCAAATTTATAATTTCTTTCATGTGTCACTAGTAAAATAACCAAAACTGAGATCGGGAGTTGTTGTACCGACGAAGTTCCGTATATTTAGTGCAGTGACCAGGATTAAACGGGAAATTGTGCAAAATACACACGATACTTCGAGTAAAGAGCATGACCGACGGTGAATTGGGTACACATTTGAATGATTCAAGTGAACTTTAGGAACAAGAAAAGAGTGAAATAACTAAAGGAGTCGATAAACTAAAGTATTATCTGGAGGAAACGGGCAAACTCATCGAGCATGAAATATCCTAGTGGCGAATTGAATCGAAAAGAACTGACGAAATTCGAGACGAATTAATTGATCTAATTTCACGCGTACAAGAGCTAAAATTAGACTCGGGAAACCAAACGCAAACGGCGATCAGACTAGGGAAAAAGAATTTGAAAGTGAGTTTTGCAAAGTTATTGGAGAAAAAGGAGTAGATCAATGGAGTATTAGAAAATAGAGAAAAAATCGTTGTTTACATTTGGAGACAGCAAAGTTGAAGGTGAAATTTGAGAACAAAGAGAAAGCTACGAGAGAAAAAAGCGTTTTCGGAGGAGAGATTAAAAGCTGACATCCAGATGACCGAGAACAAGTTAGAGATCGAGACTACCACGAAGGTATGCAGATCAAAATTACATGGACTTGAAACAACTCCATTCAAGGGAATCCCAGATGATTGTATTAGATTCGAAAACATGTTTACAACACAAGTTAATAACAAACCAATTTCCACAGAGAGAGAAATTTGGCTATTTGTTGGAGTTAGTCGACTCCAAAATACGAAACAGGTCTGCAAATCTGAAACCTGGAGAGTTAGCTTATCAAACCGCATAGGACAGATTAAGGACAGAGTATGGTGAAACTAAAATGGTCATTGCTGCTCATGTTGACCAGATTACTAATCTGGGTACAACAAAGTGTATGACTTCTACGAATCCCTAAGCAAGAGTTTTGATGCATATTTGAGTGCAAAGAATCACACTGTGGAGACACATGTCCAGTGTATGACACTCTTGAAAAGCGCCGTCGATTCGTTTCTGAGCACCGCCTATGCTTCAATTGTGCACGGTCAGGACACAAAGAAAATAAATGCCGCGGGAGGGGTTGTTATAAGTGCAAAGCAAGGCATCATACCAGTCTGTGCAACAGAGAATCAGGAAATTAAAGGCAGGGCCACAACAAACTGTTGAATGGATTTTCACCCTCAAAAGAGGAGAAGTCTCTTCCGGCCATCATCAATGAAAATCCAGGGAGTAGCGTTCTGGGCGTACTTAGACACTGGCTTAGGGCGGAACATTTTTCCAGATAAGCTAAAATTAAAGCCAACGCGACATAATAGGAGACAGATTTTAACAGTTAACGGGACGAAAGAGCAATCGTTGCCTGTTTTTCCTTTGACAATTGAGGCGTTCGACGGGAGTGTAAGCAAGTCAATGGAACTGACGGGTAGCAAGATGTCGGATTTCACCACTGTTAGGCGGCGGCCTATACAATTACCGAGGTAAAGGAGAATTCGAAGTATCCACCCGTGCGAGGGAAAACTTTCTACAGAACCGCCAACGAAGAATACATGTGATACTCGGAGACGCAGTCTACTGCCAGATCAAGACGGAGAGTATTATCAAAGGTAGAGCAGATGACCCAATCGTAGAGTGCACAACCTTTGGCTAGGTCGTGCATGATGGCAAGGAGTATGCAGATGGGAGATGTATGTTCACCAGAGAAACGAACGAGCTAGTATGAGCGCTTATACCCCTAGACGTGCTAGGGATTGAGGATCGGGGCGAAGGTGACCAGCTTGATGTATACCGAGAGCGAAACGATGGGAGATATGAAGTGAGCGTATCGTGAATACCGGAAGCAGAGCTAGTCAACAGTAACGAGGAACCGGGCAGGAAACAATTGAAGAACATATAGAAAGGAAACTGTGTCATGATAAAGAGCTTCAAGAGGCTTACGAAGAGAATGCGAAAGAACCATGTAAAGCCGGAAGTTAATGTACGTTTTTTAATTGATAGTTACTGTTCTGAGCTGTTGCGCGTGCGGGCGGCTATCCGGGTCCCAAATCTCTGACAATGTTTTTATTTCGCAATACCGCATTGAATTAAAAAGTAGAAAACTATATTAGAACCTACCAGTTGGAGGTTTCGTTGTTTGTGTTTGCTTTGGAACTGAAAGTAAAAAATTAACCATTCAAACAAACTTTAATTTCTTCTAATTCTTGTGAATATCGTTGTTCAGGAATGTGCATTTTTTTCGACACTACTTTTTTTCTAAAAAAGGAAGACAAATTCAAAGGGCATGTGCTAAAACCTGGATGATGGACGGTGGACGATAGACGATTTTTATTTACAGTTAAAACACTAAAACCCGCACACTTGCGCTCTTGTACTTTGTTGTCATTTATTGTATATTTCGTTGTATATTAATAATAATACCAATATTGCAATACTTGTAACAAAGATTGGCTTTTCCTTAAGATTCACTGCATTAGCAATATTTACTAACTTTCAACAGGTCGCGATAAAAGTGCAATGTTGAGAATTGTAACATTGATTAAAGTAATTTGTCTAATTTTTATTTAAAGAACTGTCAATCAAATACTCAGGCTGCGTTTACACTATACACGGATAGCGGCTTTCCGTAGTGCCGTGAAAAAAAACACCTGTCTGTACCTTTTAGGAACGCTATTTTCAGAGGAATAATTGCGACGGAGAGATGTAGGTTGTTTCTCTCAGCTTCTCAGAGTTGTACATTCCGTATTGGATACGTGCTTTTTCCTGCCGCTACGGAACGCTATCCGGTACAGTGTAAACGTAGCCTAAGGTGTGTCAAACTTATAGTGGTGACGAAGTGATAGTCGGAGACTGAATTTAGTTGAAACTGAATTTAGTTGAAAGATTTTTAAAGACTTTCTTCGTTTTTTATAACAATTCAAAGACTTTTCAACGACCTTAAATGGGAAGTCCTACATTCGACATACAGGACATTTTTTGGATAAACTAAAAGAAATAGGTAAAGTTTCGAAAAATGCACTGCTTGTAACTGCTTGTAAAGTCTCTATCCCACTTTCCCACACTAAGACGGCCGTCTGCGAGCACGTTAAAACACCAGGACGGTCTGCGAGCACGAGAACGTGAAGATAAAAAAGTATTATCAGAAAGCCAATTTAGTTTGGCGGAATTTGTCCATACAAATAAATTTTGAATTCAACTCAGCTGTCTATCGTCAAATTTCTGGGACAGCCATGAAAATTTCAAATTTCAAATATCGTCAAATTTCTGGGACAGCCCGAAAACCCGAAACCCGGGACAAAGCGGGGAATTAACGGGGGAATGGCCGTGGATTAACGCGGTGTTAATGCACCATTTCCCCCGGGGTACAGAGTAAATAACAAGTCAATTTATTAGCCGGGACAATAGCCGGGACTTTAACGCGCGGCTGATATGAAAGTGGACTGGAACGAGTTTATCCTCGTGGCAACATGGCGGAATTTTCGAAATCAGAGAATTGTTTCCTCGTAGTTTTTCTTTAAAAAAAGGGAATATATTTTCACTTTTTACATATTCCTGATGATGACTGCAGTATAGTCGAAACGTAGATTGAATTGAATTGCCTTCACATGTTTTGAACATTTTATACTTCAACGATTTCCCATTTCCCAAGTACAGTCAATATTCCCCTGGTAGCGGGGATATATTACCAAAATTTATATTTACATTGTCAAAATGTTAATTTCCCAGCCCTATCCCGGGGGTCGGGGCTTTAATTGACTAGTGCATTAGTGATGCATTGTTTCTGAAGTGGGCATATTGCGTTTTTCGAACAACTGCAATTGACAATGCCCTCGTCATGTGGCTTGTTCTTCCTTGCTTTATAATTATGCATTGTGCTTAGTGATTATTGACTTTAACATTGTTCATGCAGCTATTACTTACTTTCACTGTATTTCAGTTAAAGATCTTATACAGCTTATGGTGCGATGGAAAGTGCTTGTCAGTAAGACTAAGGAAATTACGCCCTTTATTATAAATTATTCATTTTGAAATCAATCGTGTTTCCTGCAATCTGATTGGTTAGGTTCACAGGAGCTCGATTTCAGCACGAATCGCACTCCTAGCAGCAGTGCGATTCGTGCTGAAATCGCATCGTCTTTCAACCAATCACACTAAAGTGCTGACTTCAGCCAACCAATCATATTTAATCATAGGATTCAAACAGCCAATCAATTTTAAGACAAATGTGACATGGCAAATGAGCAAAAACAAAAAATTTACATAATTTCATGATTTACTCTTGAGAGCCTAAGCAATTTTTTGGAAATTTTACAAAAAGAAACAGGAACAAATGCCAACAAAAGCAAATGTAAAGCGTTAGGGGAAACAAAGGTAAATTCGCCTATCGTATTTCCAATTTTAAACGCACAACATGTTTAAAATGCTCCGCAACTCTTTCAAATCACTCGTAAAACCTACAACATGTTTAAACTTACTTGTGTTGTCTCTTATGCTTATTTGCAGTGTTTGGAATCCGATGTTGTGGTTTCCCACGTTTATATACGATTCCACTCGTGCAACGTTACACGAGTGGAATCGTAAACGTGGGACACCACAACATTCACATACAACATTGCAAGACTAATAGCTGGTGGCTTTACGCATTGAAGGGCTAACCTCCGAAATGCAACTAACGTCATAACTTAACAAGTCGTTCTCAGCTTAACCTTGTACATGTAGCTCAGACGGGTGAGCATCGTTCTAGAAATACGAAGGTCGCGGGTTCGAATCCCAGCCACGGTCAAGTAGAATTATCTGCTTGCCCGGTTTGTTATACACTCGTCTGAAAACAACTCAAAAACCACTATATATATAATATATATATATATATATATATATATATATATATATATATATATATATATATATATATATATATATATATATATATATATATATATACCCGACTTGCTAATTATAAGTCACACATAAAACGTAAGCGGAGAACGTGTGCTATTGTCAATCATTTTTTGGATTGCCATGGTGCTGACCACTCTAGTTTAAAATTTATGTTGATTGATCAAAGGCATCACACTCTTAGAGAATGTGAGAATTTCTGGATTGGTACCTTGTTAACCAACCAGGGGGGACTTAATGGTCATCACGACTTCGTGCAACAATAGTACCAATGCATTTGTATTTACCATCTTGTAATTCGAATTTCTAATTAGTTTACACATAGGATATATAAGAGACTTATTTGATTTAGTTTGTACTTAGTTTCTGACGAAGGCTGTTACATGCAGTCGAAAATTTAAAATTTTTGAATTATATATTCTAATTTCTTTTGGTCGTGGCCTTTATTTTGTATAATATTAATATATATATATATATATATATATATATATATATATATATATATATATATATATATATATATATATATATATATATATATATATATATATATATATACTAGAAAAATTTAACACGAAAATTTTTAAAATTATTAGAAATTATATTTAAAATTATTAGAATTTATAATTTTGAGTTTCGTGAACTAATTATTTTCATTGCAATACCATTTTTGAATTGTCATGGAGACGCACGCTTTTTAGCCAATGAATTTGCACGCTATATAGTATCCACTTTACCTAATAAAATATATTGGTCATCAATATAATTATAACGATTACTTACCAACGACATAACTACACATGAAGGCATATTTGCTCGTGCAATTCTGATCACTCCAGTACATCCAACCGCGTTTACCACGCTTCAGACTCATATAGACACAACTTTTATCTGTTCGTCTCTCATCAGGCTGTCCAACATACCAGTTGCTCCACGAAACAGAAGAATTATTTGACCACTCATATACACCTTTAATATTTAAATCATTTAACCCAATCCAAACGTTTGAATACCATACTCGTTCCAGGAGACTTGTTGCAAACGACTGTTCTGGTCTGTACGACAGGAAATTGACGCAATTTATTATCAATAGGATTAAATCATCGCCGTATAAACATGCACTGTCGGAGCAAGTGAATCCACTGTCGGAGCAAGTGAAAGTTTTTAAAATTAACTGTCACGGATGTATATATAGGCCTACATTAAGTTAAACTGATACATTTGTTTCAAATGCTTATTTGCGCTATCAAATCAGGGTGCGATAATTCGCGTACTTATATGTACCGGAGGTACGCCAATGTTACGGTTTGGTACGTCTTTGTTTTCAGCCACGTACCACGCGTAGGTAAGCGTGACCCTTGCTATCTGCGTACTTATTTTTTGCTGGTATACCATGCATATGACCTTTCTTTCTGATGTCTTGGCATGAAACATGGTTGAACTAATGGAACTAAGGAAAGTTGGGGTCCATTAGCAATATACAATTGTGCTTCTTGTTCTAACTCGTAGTTTGAATACTTTATGGTCAGAAATGTTTACTTTATGTACTTTATTATAAAGACTCAAATACACATTGAATATCGAATTTGCACTAGCGCTAGTGCGCGCGGCAATAGTCATTGGCGTACCAGCCAAATACGACCAAAAATCTTGAATTATCGCACCCTGGTTAAACCGCGTGGTTAAAATACTGTTTTCAGTGACAAATGACTATTATATAAAAAAAGCCCAAAAGACAGGATGCTCCATTGACCTCATGAAAAACGGCTATAATGAAAACCTAAATTTCAAACCATTTCAAACATTTCCATAGATCAAGAGGTCTGCTGCTTCAATTATTTTGTAAAACATATGTATATGAATAGCGTTAACTGCACTCACCTTGAAGAAATGCTGATAAGTTCAGCATCAGAATATCGACATTTCATTCTCGCAGCATGCCATGTTTCAGGTGTATCAAACAAACGATAGCAGGTGCCGTCAAAGAAAGTCCATCCTGGTTTACATTTCTCTATATCTGGTTCCAGTGGGGAAATAATTTAATGTTAGATGTATTAAAAAACATTGGGCATGTCGTAAAACACGAACTGGACTGGACCGGACTGAGTCCGCGATTTGTAAAACACGGACTGAGTTTTGTAAAACGCGGACTCAGTTCGCGTTCTACAAATCACGGCAACGTTTTTGTAATACACGGACTCAGACCAGTACTGACTTTGTACTGACTCAGTCGTGAAAATGTTGGCGGGAATTGCGGCACAATTCTGTGCATATATCCTGGAGCTAAGGTTGGTATAAATGAGTATAATTATTTATTTATTGTTTTGAATAAACAGATTAACAGCGTTTAATATGGTGTTAGTATCGCAAGGAAAGTGCTGCCATTTTGTCACATGAACTGAATGCAAAAGTTTATACTTCCACACAATTCTCTAAAGGGAAGTATACGTTTGACCCAGTGACCGCATTTCCACATTTTATCATTGGCAGCATGGCAGGCCTGCACATGAAAAGTCATATCCCTTATGTTTCCTGCAAAAAATTGTTTCTCATTCATCATTTGTGTACACGGAACATGATATAATTTTTTATGTATTTATTCCTTTCGCTATATAAATCGTTACCGCTTGTCAATCCTGTCTCTGAATAATCTGTTTGTCCTTGCCCTATCCCAATAAGGGACGGACCATTTGATTTTTCATGGGGGGGGGGCCCATTTTTGAGAGTGCTCGATTTTTTTTTGGACCTCACCGACTCCGCACGATTTTTTTTTATCGAATCTTGCCGCGTGCACGATATTTTTTTAAATTTTTACTATAGCGTTAATACAATAATAACCACGTATGGTTATATTCCGGTTGAAGAATGTATTTGAATATACAGCATATAACCACAAAAAAGGAAAGTATAGCAGAAGTGTAACCTACGAAAATTTTAACTCGCTCACGCCATCCTGGCTAGTACAGCCGGAAGTTTTTATCAGGTTTTGATAGGTACAAAGTGCCGGTTGTACTAGCCAGGGCGTGATTGATGATCGGACGAATCGCTTGTAAAAACGCGGACAAATACTTGCTTGAGTGAGACTTCTGGTATACCTTCCTATTCTATGATATAACTATCACAGCCCATTTTATACTTGGCCAATTTTATACTTGGCCCATTTTATATGGGGCTATGGTCTACGAAATGTAGACCATAGTCCCAATCAAAATTGGATCAAGTGTATTAAAGTGTGTAACCCATTTTGCATTGGCGTAATGGCATCTATATACAAATTCTCACGGTTCCCAATCGTATCAGCGTTCCCAATACGTATTATAAACTGCGATTTTTATTCAGAATCAGAGAGCGATATTAATGAGCCGGGTGGGAAAGGGTATTTTTGTGAACCGTGAATGCAGTGGCGTAGCCAGACTATAATTTTTGGGAGGGCATATATCGCCGAAGGCGTAAGCCTTTTTAGGGGGGTCCGGGGGAAATTTAGGGGGGTCCGGGAAAATTTTGAAATCTGGAGTCCCTCAATGGCGATTTCCCGTGTTTCTGGGGAGAGATTTTGCATAATTCTGAAGATTATTTACTGCAGGAAAGACCTGATTTTTAATGATTTCTCAATAATGTGGATCCTTAATTTGACTCAACGAAGCTTACTTGGTCGCGTGTGAATAGTTAAATCGAAGTTTTAAAACGCATTTTAACCAATAACCACCATAGGCATTATTTTTTGTAGTTAGATTTAGGAAAGATTAGAACTTTTATGGACAATTTGGTGAACAGATGAGATTGGTAGTCACATGGGTAGTCATCGTCCCCCCCCCTAATTTCTACCCGGATTTCATCTTTTTACAAGGGCAGTCCATCAGCCTATTGGGGGGGGGCTGAGCCCCCCCCCTGTATACGCCACTGCGTGAATGGTCAATATTTGATCGTGTGAAATGCTTGATTTTACTGTCATGATCTGTGATTTGTTCTACAGCCGTGAGGCGTGATTGTCGATCAAAAAATGCTCCGTGAAATGGGAATTAAGGATGTCTGTTTCGTGAACTGTGATTTTGATTTGTTTATTCCGATCTATTTTATAATAGTGATAATGGACATAATACGCGATAATAATTTATATGATCGATCTCACTCGATTGCACAAGAGTAGAAACTTCGGAGGCCTTTCGGAGATCGTCGGACGTACTCATCACTCAAATTTGTAAGTAGTTTTTAACTGCCAGGCAGAGAAGAGAACTTAAAGCGTAGTACTGTACCATGCATTAAACATAATCTTAAAGCTATTATTATTATATTATTTTTATTAGATTCTCGTTATCCGTGAAATGTGAAATTGCTTTTTTATGGCACGTGAATTGTGAAACGGTATTTTTTTGTTGTGGAACGTGAATCATACCCCCCCCCCCCTTTCCCACCCTCATTAATCGATGTCGAATTTACAGAAGTGTGGGACTTTCAGTGTTAAGATTGGGGTTTTTAGGGATACCATTAAGGTAATTTGTGGATTGAAATTGAAGTCAAAGTTGTCAGAACTGGTTTGTATCGGTTTGTATTTTGCATGTATACTTCCGGTATTGTTAACCAAGGCAGAACCGAAACACTCAACAGAAAAAACTAAGGGAAACTGAATTTTTCTTTCAATATAGAGTATTGCTAATTTAGAATTTTTTTGTTCTCGATATTTTTTTTTGCTGGTGTTAGTGATGCTCGATTTTTTTTTCTTCCATTCGAGACATGCTCGATATTTTTTTTCGGATTTGCGCCCCCCCCATGAAAAATCAAATGGTCCGTCCCTAACCAGACCCCTTACTTATATATTAACTAATTAACTAATTATGTTAATATCAACACTACACTACATCCCTCTCTTTCTTTCTTTCTTTTTGCTTGCGTCCTTCGTCCTTCATGAACAGTACAAACAACGAAATATGAAAACAATACAACAACAACAATACAACTACACTACACTACATCCCTCTTTCTTTTTGCTTGCGTCCTTCGTCCTTCATGAACAGTACAAACAACAAAATATGAAAACAATACAACAACAATATATATGTACAATACTTTTCAACAAAATAGGACAAATTCTCTATAGGAGTACCACAACCTGACGTAATTACTCTAGCGGGATTATCAGGTTTATGAGTTTTAATTGAGGGATAATTCACACCTGGATGAACCCTGCTATTACTGGTAATATATCTAACCCACTTATCTGAAAGCCCATGGGGTTTCCACCTATTAACCCATGAAACTAATGGAACAGCCATGGGACCTAAGAATTCCTGTTCGTATGCTGATATTGTCGCCGAATATGTAGACAGAAGAGTGTTGGAATCTAAGACTTCGTATCCTGAGTTGAAGTCTTGGTTCCGATTCCGGGATGACACGTTCGCACTTTGGCGGGGTACAGTGTTGAGACTTAATGAATTTTTTGAGCTTTTAAATTCGTTTGACGCGCATTTACAGTTTACCATGGACGTGGGAGGAAGTTCTTTGCATTTTTTGGATCTTCTTATTTCTATTTCCAATAACCGGTTGGAAACATCGGTGTATAGTAAGCCCACTGACCCACACATATATCTTAACGCCAATTCGTGTCATCCCGGTTCGCAAAAACGTGGCATTGCTAAGGGTGTAGCTTTGCGGTTACGTAGGATATGTTCCGATGAGAATGATTTCCGGGAAAGAAGTAAGGAATACATTCGATATTTACTTGAGTGCGGACACGATAAAACACATGTTTTAGAGAAATTTAAAGAAGTTACGGATATAACCAGGGAAGAAGCTCGCAGGAGTAGAAGGAAGGTTGACGGTGGACATTGTGTTTTTAGTGTCAAGTTTAATCCTAGGGCCCCTGATATTCGTGAATTGTTTAGGAAACATAGATCGGTTATAGATTATGATCCACATGCTAGAGAGATTTTGCTGGATAGAGCTCTTCGTGTCTCATATAAGCGTAATGCCAATTTAAAAGAATTATTAGCACCATCTAATCCGTATATTAATAAGAACATAGGGGATTCACTTGGTTGTTATAAGTGTTCGGCCAAGCGTTGCGATTGCTGCAAAAATTTTCTTGTTTCTGGAAGTAGTTTTCGTTGAGTGATTACCAAGAAGATTTTTAAAATTGGTAAATCTCTCACATGTGGATCTGAAAATGTAGTATATCTTGCGCAGTGTGTGACTTGTGGTCTGCAAGGTGTAGGTTCTACCATAAATTTTAAGACCCGACTTGCTAATTATAAGTCACACATAAAACGTAAGCGGAGAACGTGTGCTATTGTCAATCATTTTTTGGATTGCCATGGTGCTGACCACTCTAGTTTAAAATTTATGTTGATTGATCAAAGGCATCACACTCTAAGAGAATGTGAGAATTTCTGGATTGGTACCTTGTTATTGTGCAACAATAGTACCAATGCATTTGTATTTACCATCTTGTATTTAGAATTTCTAATTAGTTTACACATAGGATATATAAGAGCAGTGGCGTGCTGGCAGGGGGGGCCGGGGGGCCACGGCCCCCCCAGCTGGCAATTCTTGGGGGGCGCAAAAATGAAAAGGGGGCGCCGTCCCGTGCGGAATTTTGTAAGTGGGTGGGAAAAAACGCATTTGAAAAAATATAGTTACTTCCGTCAAGAAGTATATATTTATATAGGCTTATAAACAGATTGAGACTAAGCGCATAGACGACAAAGTGATATATTAAATTACAGACTATTTGGTCTAACCTTATTTGCTAATTTGCTACTTCACGGCTCACACAAAATCGTTCATATAGAAACATGATCAGTGATCACACACAATGTCTCATTACCGGAATATTGGTCAGGTTTCGAAGCGATCACGGGAATTATGCCCTTTTTTGCTGGTATTATGCCCTTATATTATGAAGGTATTATGCTTCACGAATCACGAGAGCGGCGCAAATTAGATAGTTATGATAATGTAAGTTGTGTACGCAATTTAGTTGTTTGTGCAAGAAACATCATGACTCATGAGTAATGTAAGTGATAAGATAATGCTGAAAAGCACCCTTTTGGCAGCCAAGCAAGGTAACCATAAAGTGCATATACGTGGGGTCCGTGTGTTATTGTATAAAAGAGCTGTATGTTGTAAATGTATTCAGATCACCAGATCAGTAGAGAATAGAATTGGGATTAGATTAATCGCTGGAACTGAGTTAGCATTGCCCAATTTAAGAACTACTACTATATATAATTCTAACCAAATTGCAAATTTCAACACGTTATAATGCCGTTTCCTGACCATCAGATTTCTGTCAAACCTTCCCCCCAAAGTCCAGGAAATGGCATTTCAGAGACCCTAAATTCAAACATTTTCCGAGGGGGCATGCCCCCGGAACCCCCTAGAGAAACCTCGCACCTGCGGCGCTCGGCTCGTGCCTTCGACACTCGTTTATCAAGCATTACAATATAGGGGCGCATATTAGTTGAAAGCCAACTGGCCCCCCAGAAAATTAGTA